TTATCTCTAAATTATTTTTTAAAGCAAATATTTGGAGTAGTTTTTTCTTTTTTCTTTTTTGTGTGAACATGGGGAATATGAGAAATGGGGGTTGAGTTTACAAGGATTGGAACTAAGGTCTTAACCTTAATATATCTGCACCCTATCCAGTGCAACAAGTGCTGTGGGTGTAAATATTTGGAATAGTTAAAGGAATGCATTTTAAATAAAGAAATAAAATATTAAAATTCATAATCTTTAACCATAAAAGATTTAAAGCAATAGATTTGAAGTTTAAGCTTATATAGGCTTCATGTTTGGAACAAAACACAATCTTTACAACCTTTTTAATTAATCACTTTTTACTAATTAAAACTAGGGAAATGATTTTGGAACAACATTTTTGTATCACTTTTTAATACAATATAACGTGTCATTTAAATAATTAATTTTTTTTATTTATATAAAATTCATGATATTGAATCTTTCTACTCATTTAATGACATATGAAAATTATATAAAAAAATATAAAAAAATTATCCCTGTAACACTACTCTTAAAACTATTGTCTTTTCAAAATTTCTAATAAAAAATATGACCATTGCAATTTTTCTTAATAAAATCTATCATCTTGTAAAAGTTTTTTTTATTAAAAATATGACTTTTCAAAAAGCGATAACCTTAATTAGTAGAATAAAAGATTATATGCTTAATTACAAAATTTTTTTAAAATTATATTCTTATTTATATAAAATTTATTTTCAAAAATTGCTTTAGACCTGGCTTCATTTTGCGGTAAAGAGGAACTTTTTAAAAAGATGGGAAAAGAGACACCAAACAGGTGGGTTGTGAGTTGGATAATTTTTTGGTTAATAGTGAAGGTTAAAAAGAGTCAGATCACAAATTATCAAGAAAAATTTTAAAATTTTTTTATAAACCTAAAATTTAATTTATTAAAATACTTTTTTATATTTAGAATTCAAATTATGAAAACTCACATGTGAACATGTGGATCAACTTAAAACATGTATAATGAGAATAATAAAAAAAATTCAATTTGATGTTATTTTTCATAATTAATATTATTTTATAAAAAATTATATTTTTATATATTAAATCTTAAACAAAATATCTAGTAGAATGCATCCTCTTTTTAATATATAGAATTTTTTTAAAAAATTATATTAATATTATTTTATTTAAACTATATTTAATATATTTTAAAAAAAATTAACTTAATATATTTTTTTTTATAAAAATCTTCTTTTTAAACATGAAAAATTATGAAAAAATAAAATAATATTTTAAATAATTAATAAAAATCAAATTTTTAGCTAACTAAATTTAAATATTAAAATTTAAAAACAAATCACTTCACCGAAGATCCGGTTCTTTTAAAAAGAGATCTTTTGATCGAAGGTTGGATAAAAAACAAAATGCTGCAGCTGCGCATGTCATGCGGCAGTGCCTGGCATGCGCAAGTGTTGCAATACTTTTTAAAGTTGAAAATTTTGTTCGAAAACTCATCAAACGTGGACAATAGGGCTGTCTATATTTTCTTTTTGTTAAAAAAAAAAAACAATGGAAGAGAATAGTATTGTACATAATTTTAACAAATAAAATGATAAAAATTTAATATTTTATAATTTAAATTATATTGAACATAAAATGTTAATTATTAAATAAAATGACCAATATCTATTATTAAGAGACTATTATTATTTAATAATTAATATTTTATAATTTGATATAAATTAAATTACAATACACTTTCTTAAAATAAAAATAATAACAGGGCAAGTTTTACTCAACTTTGAGTTAAAAAGTGTTGGAAGACACCTTGCGCAGATGGAGCATCAATGGGAGTTTGGCCAGAAGCCTATACAAGGACCTAATTTATGATTCCATGTATATAAACTACCTGTTTTCACTCTATTTTCTAGATAGAGGATTCTCATTCACAACTCCACCACCCATTATTTGAACTAACTCAGACAATCTCCCCTTCACAAGTGTGTGGTCATCTGCTCCTCCGTGAGTGTAAGAGAATGCTCAACTTGATAGTCTATCGCATACTCTTCCATGAGCCGAAGGCTAAAGTCATGGGATTCACCAACTCAACCATGCATGAAGGATGTGAAGGTTCCATAGAAGTCTAACGCACTCACATCACTTCCCAGGCCCAAGAGCAATTATCATCAACTCTAATATCACTTATTGGGGGAGACATCTTGGACTGACCAGACCGCTAACAGGAGTTTAGGCCACAATACACACAAATAAGGACTCAATATATGAAAACAAGTGTCTTGAATCCAAAGAAGAAACGAAGAAAAAGGAGGGCAAAAGAGAATCAAGAGTTTCATAAAATTGTTGCACTGTTGCCTGAAAGCCCCCCACAACCCGCAATACCATCACAGCCTGCAGTCCCCCCACTGATGCCACAATCGCCCACCAGCAGCCGCAGCAGTTTGTACTAGCCGCAAAGGCCCCACCGCCCTCCCCCCTCCCCCCTCCCCCCATCCCCCTCTTTATTTTTTAGGTTTCAATCAGTTAAAGAATGATAGATGTAAGGATAACTTCGAGGTTAAGAACCTCGGACATACTATAACAATTTTTCGATAACCAAAATGAAGTTAAACCCAGTATTTCTAGTCAAACGACTGTATGATAAATATAGTGGGCATATTCATACCTGACTTATTGTATAACTCTCCGGTCCCGAATTTGTAGCTGGTCTCGAGTTTATCTCTCCTCAAGGGACACTTCATACTCCGATTATCTTGCTTGGCATGCCATGTGGGTTCCTCACTGAAACCTATAAATACCCCCTAGGGGTCATGTCAAAAAGGTAATTGAAACCAACCCTAAACTCTTTTTATCTCCGCTTTAAAGGTAACCCCGATTATTATTGATTTAAGCATCGGAGTGTCTACCCTGAGTTTCACCTCGGGACTTTGCAAATCATTCCAAAGCGCAGACGCGAACTGAAGAGGGACTTCTGGTTTGGTGCAATTACAATAGACAATTGCAATTCAGATATAAGAAAAAAGAATATGTAAAGAAAGAGAGAGAGGGACTCTTGCAGAGCACGGCTAGAGTTTTTTTTCTACCATGTGCAGGAGTCTGAAATAAGGATCTTTGAGTGTTCCCATCATTTTTTAACACTTGAAAACAAAAAAATACAATATTTTTACGAATGAAACTAGTATTCATTAATTGAATTTTTAAAAACCTAAAAGGAAAAAAAAAAGCAATACATCCATTTTAATAAAATAATACAAGAAAAGACCAAAACAATTTTAACTATGCTTTAAAAATAAATTATTTTAATATTTTTAATTAAAATTTATTAAAATAATATAATTTTGAGACATTTTCTTTTTGATTTTTTTTAAAGTCTTGCCCACAAACATTTTTTACTTAAAAAATGTTAAAAAAATCGAGTACTAATGCAAATGGTAGACTGAGGCTAACTCCTCATATTCTCCGGGCTAAAATTGTTCTCACTGCCACACTTAGCATTTTTCTTCTGAAAGAATCAAATTAACAGAGGGATGCAACGCTGTGCGATGAGAAAGTTTAATATAGCATACAAAATTAAGCTACAAAATTAAGGCCTTAAACCAAAGCCCGTTCATCTAATTTGCATCGTGAATATGAAGAAGATATCTCACCAGCATTACTTTGCATCAGCATCTGAATGTCTGATCTGGATCAACCTCAAGTCGCTGGCGAGATTTTTTCCATAACTGATTCTCTAAACCTAACCTCCTCAGCTCCATGAGGCCGCGCTCAACTGCACATGAGAGAATAGCATATAAAAGCATCACCAAGTATATGAAAGTCAATATATGAATGATAGAGATGTAAGAGCAGAAGTTTAAGGAGCTGCAACATCTCATCATAAAACAAAGCACTAACTATGGAAACACTGGAAAAGCGGCAAGAAACTTATAATACCCATGATAAAATTACTCATGGCAGACTCTAGTAGCTGAGGATGGAGTAAGAGATTTACAATTAATAGATGACTTATGATAGAACACTTTCTTCATTAAAGAGAGTAAGTGGACAGTGGCTTGGGTAGCAATTGATGAAAGGGAGCAGGTGGTAGAGCATACCTTCAACTGCATCATGTGAAGAGGAAGATCGAGAACTCTGGTTGATCCAGAACTGTAAACGCTCATCAGCAACATCGGGTTCTACTCCATGAATTCTTGCTCTCCTCCAAAAATATGTAAGCCAGGCCTACATAAGCACAAGAACTAAGTTTCTAAGAAATATGCTTTCCAATTTTTTTTTTTTTATCAAATTCAAACACTCCTCTCATCATTTAGCAAGATACAATTATAAAAAAGTGATAGAAGAGTGAATTTTACTTAGATACTCAATAGCTAATATTTTAATTATGTTAAATGTATTAGAACCATGTGATGCAATTTGTCTTTTTGTATTTTGGTAGATAGTGGTCAGAACCACTCAAGTTTGTACAGTGTAAGAAGCAAGCTCCATATATCAGTAAATGATATAAGATGAAGAAGTATGGTTATGTCTTCTATGTTTTCCATCAATTTCTCCACTCTGTTTTTCCTCTTCCAGTGAGCTCTTTGTGCTTATCTTCTTCTGATCTCCGACAAAGTGGTATCAGAGCTATATTCTTGAGGGACCTGTGAGAGAATGGAAACACAAGTGTATGTGAGGGAGTGTGTACTGTAATTAAAAAGCACAGCTATGTCTTCAAACAACCACGGAAGCTCTCTTTCTTATCCTCCTCTGTTCATTGGCAAAAACTACAATGTCTGGGCCATCAAGATGAAGACCTTCTTGAGAGGTAATGACATGTGGGAATCTGTAGAGAAGGGCTTTAATTCTCCACGGTTACCCCAGAATCCAAGTTTGGCTTAGATCAAGAACCATGCCGATTATGTTGCAGGATCCTACAAAGCTTTGTTTTTCATACATAGTGGCGTTTCTGATGAAATTTTTTCTAGAATTATGAGAGCTGAGACAGCTCAAGTTGCTTGGGAAACTTTAAAGAAGGAGATGAAAGGGTCAAGGGCCAAAACATGGTTACTCTCAAAAGAGAGTTTGCCATGCTGAAGATGAAGGATACAGAGACTGTTCATCAGTATTTTTCAAAGGTGATGGATATGGTTAATAAAATCAGATTAAATGGTGAGGACTTTCCTGATGCCATGGTTGTGGAAAAAATGATGGTGAGCCTTCCTAACAAGTTCGAATAAAAAATCTCTACAATTGAGAAGTCCTGTGACTTGAAGGAGCTGACGGTTGTTGAATTAATTGGCAAGTGGCAGCTTGTGAACAACAGCTGTCCTAAGAGCTGAAGATACAGCTGAAGGTGCATTCCAGGCTAAGGAAAAGCAACATGCAGCTGGTTATGGAAGAAGGCAGCTTCCTAGCAGAGCTGAAAGAGGAAAAGCTGTTGATGTTCCATCACAGTAGCTGAAGGACAAATTGCCACCATGTCCTACTTATAAAAGGACAAATTATGAAGAAAAAGATTGCTGGTATAAGGGAAAGCCTCAAGTACAGTGCAGGTTTTGCAAGAAGCATGGTCACATTGAGAGATACTGCAAAGCCAAGTAAGATCAGTATAAGCCAAAACAAAAAACTCAGCAAGCACATTTCACCGATGATTATGGTGAAGATCATTTGTTTATTGCCTTGCATGGTAACTCCTTAACAAGCACTCATGGCTTGTTGATAGTGGCTGCACAAGTCATATAGTGAAAGATAAGGACCTTTTTACAGAGCTGGACAGTTCAGCGAAGATTAAGGTCAAATTAGGCAATGGCTCTACAGTTCATTCAAAAGGAAGAGGCACAATGGCTGTTCAATCAAAGAGAGATACCAAATACATCTCTAATGTTCTTTACAAGCCAGAAATTGCTTAGTGTAGCTCAGATGTTGGGGAATGGATATTCAGTATCATTTATGCATGATTCTTGTCACATTTATGATCCTATTGGTGCAGAATTGGCTAGAGTTGATATGGTTGATAATTGTTTTCCATTGCTTTGGAAGTCTCCTATACAATCCGTGCATGTTTCTAAGGTCGACAACACTGATTTACGGCATATGACATATGGACATTTTAATGTCAAGTCTCTAAAATTCATGCAATATAATGAATTAGTTAGAGACGTGTCTGAGATTTATTTGAATGGTGATGTTTGTGGGAGCTGTCAATATGGAAAGTTGCATAGACAGTCCTTTCCTGTGAATCAGTCATGGAGAGCTAAGCAGAAGCTTGAGCTAGTGCACACAGATGTTTGTGGCAATGAAGATGCCATCTCTTAGCTAGAATGTTTTGTGCTATTCATTGATGATTTTACTAGAACAACATGGGTTTATTTCTTGAGTAACAAATCTCAAGTCTTCCCTATGTAGAAGAAATTTAAAGCCCTTTTCGAAAAACAAAGTGGATGTCAGATCAATACTCTTAGGTTGGACAATGGCAAGGAGTATACCTCCTCTGAATTTGATAAGTTTTGTGAAGATGCTGGTATAGCTCATCAATTGACAGTCCCATGCACTCCACAACAAAATGGGGTTGCTGAAAGGAAGAAAAGGACTATTATGGAAATGGCAAGGTAAATGTTATATGAGAAGAAATTGCCCATGAACTTCTAGGCTGAGGCTGTGTATACTGTAGTATATTTGCTGAACGGATTCCCTACAAAAGCAGTGGAAGGAATGACTCCAGTTGAAGCTTGGCATGGCCTTAAACCTTCTGCCAATCATTTAAAGGTTTTTTGTTCAATATGTTATTGTCACGTGCATCTGCTAAGAGAACCAGGCTAGATGTGAAGGCAGAACCTGGTATATTTTGTGGGGTATGCTACACAGTCCAAAGGCTATAGAGTTTATAACTTGGCAACTAGGAAAGTTACCGTTCACAGATGTACAATTTGATGAGAATGCATACTGGGACTGGAATAAGAAGGAAGCTGTCAAGGCTATTCTTGCAAATGATGATGCAGAAGCCTCCAAAAAGGCTGATCAGAATTTATTTGATGATTCAGAAGTTGATGGTATTGATGCTTACCAGGATACTCCTGTATTAAAAACCAAAAAGCTGTTGAATATTTATGCAAAGTGAAATCTCACCATTTTAGAACCAGGTACTTATTTTGAAGCTTCTCAACATGAAGTCTGGTTTCAAGCAATGCAGGAGGAGATAGACATGATTAATAAGAATGGCACCTGGGAATTAACTTCTAAACCAGAAGAGAAGCACGTGATAGGGGTCAAAAGGGTTTATAGAACTAAAATGAGCCCAGATGGCTCAATTCATAAGCACAAGGCCAGGCTTGTAGTGAAGGGATATGCTCAGCGACCAAGGGTTGACTATGGGGACACTTTTGCTCCGGTTGCTAGACATGATACAATTAGATTGTTGCTAGCCTTATCTGCATGTATGGGTTGGAAGCTGTACCTTATGGATGTTAAATCAGCTTTTCTTAAAGGTTATTTGCAAGAGGATATCTTTGTTGAACAACCAGAAGGCTTCGTAATTTCTGGACAGGAGGTGAAGGTTTACAATCTGAAAAAGGCTCTTTATGGGTTTAAACAAGCTCCTAGATCATGGTAAAGCAGAATTGACTCATTTCTAGTGCAGCAAGGCTTTGTTCAAAGTGAAAATGAACCAACTCTGTATGTTTTAAGCTTCATCAGATCATATTACTTCAGATTCTGGAGTGAGATGTGATGCGCAGCTGTTAATTTCACTTTATGTTGATGATCTTTTGATTACAGGGAGTGATTTACAAATGCCACATCAGTTCAAAACAGCTATGAACACAGAATTTGAGATGTCTAACCTCGGTGAAATGAGTTACTTCCTGGGAGTGGAAATCACTCAACTGGTTGATGGTATTTATGTTTCTCAGCACAAGTACTCACTTAATGTCTTGAAAAAATTTAATATGGAAGTTGCAAATCTGTGGAAACACCACTGGTATTGAATGGGAAATTTTATGTTGATGTTGGAAGCAACAAAACAGATGCCTCAATGTATAGAAGTCTGGTTGGTAGCTTATTATATTTAACTGCATCTACACCAGATTTAATGTTTCCAGCTAGTTTTTTGTCCAGATTTATGCTCTTACCTAGTCAAGTGCATTATGGAGCTGCTAAAAGGGTTATTAGATACTTGAAAGGCACTTTCGATTATGGCCTTATGTTTAAGAAGAGCAAAGCTTGTGTTCTTGAACTTGAAGGTTATGCAGATAGTGATTGGGCTGGATGTTTTGAAGATGCTAAGAGCACTACTGGATTGGTCTTTAATCTTGGTTCTGCAGCTTTTTCATGGATTTCTAGAAAGCAAGATGCGGTCGCTCAATCAACAGCTGAGGCCAAATACATTGCAGCAGCTGAAGCAGCTAGTCATTCAGCATGGATTTGCAAAGTGCTTACTGATGTGCGTTGTCAACAAATTCAGCCTTGTGTTCTTCATTGTGACAACAACAAAGCATTTGCAATTGCACATAATCCAGTGCAACATGGCCGGACTAAGCACATAAATGTCAAATGTCATGTGCTTAGAAATATGGTGCAGAACAATGAATTGAAGCTTATCTTCTGCAGTACAGAAGAGCAAGTTGCTGATACATTGATCAAAGCTCTTCCAAGAGCTAAGTTTGAAATGCAAGGAGTGATAGAAGAGTGAATTTTACATAGATACTCAATAGCTAATATTTTAATTATGTTAAATGTATTGGAGCCATGTGCTGTAATTTGTCTTTTGTAATTTGGTTGATAGTGGTCAAAACCACTCAAGTTTGTACAATGTAAGAAGTAAGCTCCATATATCAGTAAATGATATCAGATGAAGATGTATGGTTATGTCTTCAATGCTTTCCCTCAATTTCTCCTCTCTGTTTTTCCTCTTCCAGTGAGCTCTCTGTGCTTTTCTTCTTCTGATCTCCATCAAAAAGTTTGTACTAGAGTAGAAAAGAGGATCAATAATTGCTATCCAAATCCTGATCGCATCCCTCCACCAAACATAAACAAACAAGAAAGGATTGCATTGGTTTTATTTTCTATCACCCAACTGTGATTGTTCTATAGAGTGTTTTTTTCCTAAACAGAGGCTGTATAGAAATATAGTAGATGGCTAAAAAAGGTAACTCAAATAAATATATTGAAAAGGTTTAGCTTAAGATATAGCACTCCTAGAATTTTTCTCATAAGCCAAACCTTCCTAATTCTAAAAGCCACAAAAGACCTTTTTATCAGCATTTTAATAAAGCAGTATCTAAATGTCTTTTCACTAATTAATAACTAATATAAAGCCCTGATAAAACTTAAAATATGGTGAACAAAACATTGTATACATTTCGAGCCACCAGTTTTTATCATTCATCATCCATTTTATAGAGATTCACAATCAATGGAATTCTTAAATATTTATAAATAAAAAAAATTCTGTGTTCTTATAATGTTATTTAGATATCCAGACCTAAATTCCAAATATGTTCAGTTCTTTATCCAAGGTCTTAAACTTATAATGAGGGTCACAATATGAGGCTGAACGAAGAATATCAACTAAAGTCATATTAAAATGCTTGTCATATTTATAATCCTTAATGAAAGAACAATCAATGAATCAGTATCAAGCTTTGCCCTAAATACTGTACAAAAAAAAGTTGCTATAGACTAGAGATAATGTCATACCTGCTTAAAACGTACATCCTCTGACTCCTCTTGGCTCAATTCTGAAAGACATTTAATTTTTTTTAGTTGTTTATATATTGGAACAATTGGTTTTAAAATCCAACACAGTGTGCAACAAGAAAACTAAGTTTTGCAAAAACAAAAAAACAAACAATGGACAACTAACAACC